CCCCCCCTATTTCCCGCCACGCAGCGGGGTCTGGAGGTGTGAGACCCAAAAGTTACCGTTTCGTAAGTCGATGGCGGGTTGATAGAACAATGATACTGAATTTGGGGGCTAAACTACTGAATGAATTTGGCAACTCAGAAACGAATGAACATTCTGTACATAGTCGTCTGATTATACGGTTCACGTCCCTCTTCAGTTTAGGAAGAATGAAGAAGGCAGCATCAGACCCATATATTCCGTTTTGTATCGACCACGTGGCGCAGGAACTGTTGATCTTGTTTGGTTGCGCATGACGCTTGAGAGGGGAGTGGGGTGAACGGCATGTGCGACCTAATGGGTATTCCGCTTCACGGATGACGGACGGTTTTTAGGGTGTAGCTGACCCCAATGATGTGGTGAGGAGAGCCTCGTTTATGTGGCTGTTCCTTGCTTTTGTTTGCCCGTAGCAAACCAGAAGCAATCGCGTGTCTTTCTTTCCCAACTGTCAGGACCCTCTGAAGAGAGTGCGAGGCAAGGAGCCGCTTGCTCCATTTGTCATTATTCCACAGCAAGCTGTATGCTTACTCCTTCGTTTTAGTTAATGGTAGCCGACCGCTTGGGAATAGGGGCGGGTTCCGGCTTTTTCCTTTTTTACCCTCCCTCCTTATTTCGCTCCTCTCTGGCGTCTCTCTCAATAGGGCTGGGGGCATGGTGACCCCGAGTCCCACGCCTCCTCCCGGTGGCGAGAGAGGCCTTTAGTGGCATGTATCCGAACGTGAGCGGCGCCTGCCGCGGAACTGCGTCCATAATGGGCCTGAGACCGTCATGAAGCGAAGCAGTGATTTCTTTTTTTTGGATCGCAGTGAAGAAAATGCATATTCTCTCCTTGTTGTATTTCCTAAACAAAGTGGGGATAGAGTCGACATCTATGGTTGTTGTTAGTGACCGTGGTGGGGCAATGCATGTACCACGCGTACGCCATCAGACACGCATTGAAGACGCTCAACTGATATGTGTTCGTTTTGTCCAACACCTCCTGTTTCCTTGGGCGCCTTGCTGAACATTTGGCTGATCGTGGCGTGCCTTTAATGCGGTGCAGTGAATTCTAGGTTATCCACCGATGCAAAGCATGCTCTGGTGACCCATACGGCGAAATAAGAAAAACGAATGTGTGGAGATGCACAACTGCTGGTTGATGCGACGTCACGGAGGATGGATGACATCACATGGCCCGACATTCTGCAAAGGGGTGATGGCTCCGTCTGTAATTAATCCGCCGTTGCTCCTGGAGCATGGTGCAAGACAATCACTATGCCGACCAGATTGCTGACACTTGCGTTGGTCTGTCACAATGAGCCACCGTTGTTGTTTCTGTGGGGAGAGAAGGATGCCCCCGTGTGGTTGGGACGCACCGCCCAAGGAAGGACAAGATGCAGCGTTGCTGTGAATGAGGGTCTGAGCGTTTCTCTCTCTTGGTGTGCCGTGAGGGGCTATTATTCGTGTTTGTGACGAATGACGACGTGGTCTTCCCGCCCGATCTGCTTTCCTACCTGCGGCGCACGATGCACTGGATGACGCGGCAGGGCGCTGTGCACCTGAAGGGGCGGGCAGTGAAGGTGGCGCCTAAGCCGAGCGGAGATGCGACAGCCGTGTGGTTGTAGGAATTTGTCCTCTATGCTTCTACGAATGCTCTTAAAACCATAATTTTATGGAGACGTTGCTGTGTTTTCTGT